CCCTTCCGCGGCTCCGCCCCCCTCCTAAAAGCTTCCCTTCTGTTTTGCAGCTGCGTCTGGAGAATTAACCAGAAGTAAAAGGCAGAAAGAAATTTTGGAGGTTGGGGAGATGGGGGCGCGGGCAGAGCATCCCTCCTGCGGGGCATCAATAGCCCCAGAGTCGTTTTGGGTGGTTCAGGGAGGCTGTCCGGGGGCCTCTTGCTTTCTGGGTGAGGCATCCCTGGGCGCTGGTGGTTGGAAAGCCTGTGGAGCTGATGTCGTGAGGACTTTGGAGGGGGTGCCTCCTTTTAATAGGGGTGAAATGCCTGTAACACCTCTCCTATCGAGAAAGGCTGAGAGAGTTGGGGTTGTTCAGCCTGGAGAAGAGGCGGCTCCGGGGAGACCTTGTTGTGGCTTTTCAATATATAAAGGAGGCTAATGAAGATGGAGCGAGACTTTTTACCAGGGCCTGCAGTGATAGAACAAGGATTAACCATTTAAACTAGAAGAGGGTAGGTTTAGATTATATATAAGGAAAAAATTTTTTATGATGAGGATGGGGAGGCACTGGAACAGGTTGCCCAGAGAAGCTGTGGATGCCTCATCCCTGGAAGTGTTCAAGGTCAGGTTGGATGGGCCTTTGAGCAACCTGGTCTAGTTGAAGATGTCCCTGCCCATGGCAGAGGGGGTAGAACTAGATGATCTTTAAAGGTCCCTTCCAACCCAAACCATTCTGTGATTCTATAACCAAAGCCCCCCACCCACTGTTGTCCCAGAGAAGAGAGTAAGGGCTGCGCCAACGGATGTGGGCTCTGTGCTAACTGCTGCCCCCATGGCTCAGCTGCAAGTGCAGGGATGAGACCCCACCTCTGACGGTCAAGGCCACAAATCAGTAGCCTGCTACCCATGGGGCTTGGCAGAGCACTGGCTCTCGGTCTTACGCATTGCCGCTGTGCTTCACCCTGCAGAAGAGACTTCTCCCCTCCCCGCAGGCTTTTCTCATTTTGTATTAACTCTACTTTCTTACTAACATTACCTTGCTTCAAGGCGCCCTGATGCCAGAGCCTTTAAATGGGAAATTCAAGCTGTTGACAGTTTCAAAGGGAGCCCTGTTTAAGCTGCTTGTTATTTCTGTGGGCAATGTCTGAGAAAGGGGAGTATCAGTGGCCTAGAACAGTAAGTAGCCTATTCGAGCTTTGTTTAGAGTAACGTGATCTCTTCAGGGCCTGCAATGTCAGCTTTTAGAGAGTAAGTTCCAGAAGCAGAATGGAAAAGTAGCTGGATTTTTATCTTTTTTTTTGGTGGTTTTTTTTTAACATTGCTTTCCATGGTATGGCAGTGCTTTTCTAAGTGTAGCTGCTCAATACAAAGCCAACAAATCTTGCGGTGGAATAGCATATTAAAAATGAAGCCAGCTTTTATCTTCTGTGCAAAAAAACCACAGAAACAAATGAACAAAGACAAGGGTGCTTCCAAGGAGGTCTGAAACTACTACTACAGTACAAATCCTGAGAACCTGTCCCAGAATTAGCAGCTCTTGGACCATAATTACCATAAATAAGCAGATAAGATGGAAATGCAAAGCATTCAATGAATCCCTGACCTTCCCCATATCTTCTTCCAACCCAACACTCAGTTGGGTTCCTTCTCATCTCTAGATACTGTCAAGCCAAATCAAGCAACCCAGGAGTCTCCAGGATGCTTTGGGTTCCCTGATGCACATACCTGTCCCACCTGGGGAGAACCAGTTGGTATTAGAGAGCAGGCAGGCGGGCTGGCCCTGCTCCGTGCCACAGCACCAATGGCTTTGGGAGCTGCCCAGTCCTGCTGTATTACACACCGTTCTACATCCTAACGGGGACCTTAGACTTTGCCGAACCCATACAGCTGCAGCCAGCCCTTCATATCAGACAGGAAGCCCCGATCAGTCTTCTTTCCTTAAACATTTTCTCCAAGGAAAGGTGGAAGTGACTTTCTAGGAATCTTGTCCGCTCTGGCACGCGCAAGAGGAACTGCGATCATTCACACAGCTCTGCAGGTGAAAGTCCAGATGTTATATGCATCTGTCTTCTAGCAGAAGCCTTGGAAGGATCAGCTTGGCCTAAAACATTCCTGGCCAAAGTGGTTTTAATCTGTTATTCAAATCCTCTGATCTCCCAGGCAATCTGCCTCAGAGAAAGTACTTTCTCCACCAGAAGTGTTTTGTAATTTTAATGTTCACCCACAACAGACAGCGAAAACAATTTATTTCCTCTCTCTTTGCAGGCACCTTTTAGGTTATTGGACGACAGTTTCAAATCTTAGTCTTTTCTTCGCTGAATTATATCAATTATGACCTTTGATCTCTGATTCTTCTTACCCCTCTTTCTTCAGTTGATCTGGAATTCCTCGAACTGACCCCTAAGGCCTTGGCTGAGTGACTAATGGGAGATTACCTTGGGTATTTGCAAACAACGCTCTTGTTCTTATTTCTGAATACGAGATCAGATATAGGCAAGAGTCCTTTCATAACATAACATAACATAACATAACATAACATAACATAACATAACATACAATAACTAGCATAAAATTACATACATAACATGATATCGTTGACTTACGGGCAGCCTATGACGCATGATGGGCCCCAGACCCTTTTCGGTAGGTCAGCTGTGTGCCACAATGTTCCCTATCTTGTACTTGCACAGTTTCTTTCTACGTAGTCATTCCTAGCTGTCCATGCTAAATTGCTTTTCCAGATTGTTTTTCCAGTTTGTCAAGATCACTTGAATTCTAATCTTGCTGTCGATGTTTGCGCAGCCCCTCCCAGGTTGCTGCAATCTGCAAAGGCCTGTCTTGTTCCTGCATGCTTGAACTGTTCCTAATAAGCTTTATTCAATGCTACTGAACCCCACTGCAGCAGGCATGTACTTCAAAGGGGGCAGAGGGGTGCTTTATAAATTAGCACAGAGAACATCAAGGGCTCATTGGTATAAAGTCTGAGATCTCAAGGGCTGGTTCACTAAGGAATGAGCATGGCTTTAGCTCCACTGGGGAGTTTCCCTTTTGTTCATTTTTTCTTGCTCAGGGTTTTGTTTTGTTTTCAGTTCAAGTTACACTTGTGAGGCAACGTCGTATGAATGTAGAGGAGTTTATTAAGCTTGTATGTGGGGGGAACAGTGAGTCAATATAGGTGCTTATATTTGTGTGTGGCTTCCATAGGAGCTATGTGATAAAGGGAAGGAAGTCATACAGCTCTTACAATTTGGTAATATTACTTAGGCCAGACATTTTGCCTGTTGATCCAGGGCCTTATGTGTGCAGTACAGATACAGTTTTGGAGAGGAGAGCTAACCTGACACTCAAGGAAACCCAGATTTAATGGTTTTCCCCTTCACTCAGGCTGTTTTTCTAGATAGTTCAAAAACTATGTCTGGTCTTGCATCCGCTTTGTTGATGTGTGATGCCTCCGGCTCAGAGCGTGACTCAGATGTCTGTTGGGAGCACTTGTGCCCTTCAGGCTCCATAGATTCAGCTCAGCTGTGACCACCTTCTCTTTTATTCTGCTGAGGCGGATCCAAACGTAACTTACAACTGGCTGGGATGCATCCCCTAGAGAGCTGGAGTGAGGGGCTGTGCTTTCCTTGCTTGCTTCTTCTTTGGGAGCATTTAACTTCCCTGCTGGATGGTGAAATGTGGGCTCATCAAATAGAGAAAGCAGAAAAGAAAGAGCTGACGGCAGCTTGGGAAACAGATAGGACCTACCAGCATGTACAGCAGCAGCACCGCCACATGTCTGAGAGAAAAGGTTAAAGTTGTTATAATTTAACGTCACCCTTCAAAGACCCTCTTCCTTTTGCCCATTGTCTTTTAGGTCTGAGTGGTGGCAGTTCA